GGCCGAGGAGCCCGGGGGTCCCGGGGGTCCCCCGCGCAGGAAGAAGTCCCGCTCGGGCCTCCGCCGCGCCTTCAGCTGGCTGCGGGTCAAGCGGCGCAAGAAGAAGGCGGCGGGGGCCGAGGGAGCGGAGCCGGCCGCCCCCCGGGCCAAGAAGGCGGACGACAAGGCCAAGAGGGCCAAGGGCAAAGGCCGAGGTAAGGCGGCCGGACACCTGGGCAGAGCGGCGGGGGCGCCGAGGGTGCAGCGCCGGGGGGGGGCGTGGGGGGCTCCGCAAGGGGCGGGGTGTGTTGGAGTTGGAATGGTGACCCTTTGGGTGCTGGTACTGGGGAGCGAAGAGCTCAGGGTTCAGCCCAAATCCCCGTCTTGTGCCCCTAAGACGCAGCACGCTCCTCTCCTGAGCGGAGAAGACCTCGACTTGGTTAGGGATCCCTGGCTTAAGCAGGAAGTACTAGCATGGCACCGAGGCAATTCTCCCTCCCTCAGGCTCACCCAGGTTTTGCCCTCTGCTGAGTCAGGGGGTGAAAGACTTGACTCTCTGGCCTGTGGCCTTTGGGAGAGGCAGGTGGCTTTAGGTCTCTGGTGGGAGTCCCCTAGGATCTAGAAGGTCAGCGGCCTTCACACAGGAGTTTCTGCCCTCCAGGTGGATCCGGGTTTCCAACCCCACAAAGGGCCCAGCTTGGGGCATAGCATACCTGAGGTTATTAATAGTGTTAGCTTTTCCTACCTGTCCCCACCCCCCACCTCATCGCTCACCTGGGCCAAACTGCAAACACGCCCCATTGGGGGTGGCGAGCTCATGATCTCAGCACCAGTGGCCCCTCCCCATCTCTGGTTCCCCAAACCCTGTTACTAACAGTATTGAAGTGGGCTTACAGACAGGAAACTGAGGCCCGAGCTAAACGGATTGGGGTTGGATACTTAGAAGAGCAGCGATTTCTCCTTCTTTCTGAGTTGGAGTCTCTGATTTCCTCTCAGACCTGATGGGTCGGCAGTCTGTGAGGAGGGGAAGCGGATCTGGCCCATCTCAGCTAGGGTTACTGTACTTTTCTGCCACTTTTTTTTTCCTTTCTTCCAATTCTCCCTGTTCCTGTCTTCTATTTGGTGGAGAGGGCCTCCGTCTCTCTAAGAAGGCGGGTCCTCCTTAGGCCTGCTGACCTTGGAAGTCTACCTTTCCTATACTTCTGCTACTCAGCTGGAGGTGAGGTGCGGAAATGGCAGGGTGTGTGTGTACCCATCCCTTCTGTTTACTCTCTCACAGTCCTTTAACCACCTCCTTCTGGAGGAGAATTAGAAGGCACAGGGGTCAGGAAGAGGGTGGAAAGCCTCTTGTGGGATTGCATCCGGTGTGATCTTCCTTTTGGATAAAGGCCCTGAACGTCTGGAGCACAGCCACGAATAGAAGCCTGGGCACTGGGGCAAGCATGGCTGGGCCAAACCCTGAGGGAAGATCTGGGTAAGGGGTATTTCCAAAGGCTCTGCCGCCCAAAATGGAGGGGAGTCTGTTCCAAGACTCCACCATTGGGATTCAGTATGCAGTCATCACCATCTCCCTCAAGAGGACACAGGTCAGAACTGCAGCAGGATGGGTTATAGTCAAACTATTAGGCTGGGCAGGCAGATTAGTAGACTAGTGATGTACCCCAGGACAGTGGACACTTTTCCCAGCTTGGAGGCAAGGGACTGGAAATACTGTGGCTCCTGGCTCCAATAGCCTACTTTTAGCTAGGTGCTGGTGGCTCACATTTGTAATCCTAGCTGTTCAGGAGGCTGAGATCTGAGGATCACAGTTTGAAGCCAGCCAGGAAAGGAAAGTCCATGAGACCCTCCAATTAACTAACAAAAAAGCCAGAACTGGAGTTGTGGCTCAAGTAGAGTGCTAGCTTTGAGCACAAAAGCTCAAGGACAGTCCCCAGACCCAGGAATAGCATTGGGTTGATGGCCAAACCGCCTTCTGCCTTCTTTTTTTTTTTTGGTCCTTGTGGGGCTTGAACTCTGGGCCTGGGCGCTGGCCTATAGCTCTTCAGCTCAAGGCGAGCACTCTACAGCTAGAGCCACAGTGGCACTTCCAGTTTTCTAGTGGTTTATTGGAGATAAGAGTCTCATGGACTTTCCTGCCTGGGCTGGCTTTGAACTGTGATCTTCAGCTCTCAGCCTCCTGAGTAGCTAGGATTACAGGCGTGAGCCACCGGTGCCTGGCTCTGCCTTCTTTTTGATATTGGGTGTTACTCGGTTTCTGGGCAGTGGGTCAGCTTAATTGAGTCCACGTGCATGGGCAACACCCTTTGCCCCTAAACTGTTGTTTCCCTAGGTCTGGAGGAGGTTCCAGGTACGACTGAAGGAAGTCCTGTTCCCTTTTTCTTCAGCCTCCTATTATTCTAATTGTTTCCTTGTCACCTGCTTGGCCCAGCTTCTCTGTTTATTAAGAGAAATAAATCTGATCTCTCTAATCTCCACTGGCAAGGCTGGTCAGAAAGGGAAAGCCCAAAGGCTTAACTCTTTCAGAGAGAACATTCAGAGCAGAGATGAGGGAACGTGGGAAGGAGAGTATCTAGAAGATTCCTGGGAAGTCAGAAAGGAGATTCAAGTCCTGGCTCCTCTCATTTGGCTACGTTACTATAAGAGGACACAGGTCAGAACTGCAGCAGGAACATTGAGCTTCAGTTCTCCAAGGTTCCTGTAATGCCCTCACTATCCTGAGCAGACTTAGCAGGAAAGAGGAAATCTGACACTGATTATTCTGGAGAGGTCCGAAGCCCTGTATCCATTATCTCATGAGATCCAATTTGCAGGTGAAAAAACTGAGGCTCAAAGATTGTGACTGATTTGACAAAGCTGAAACTGATTGAATCTTAGATCACCTGCCTCAAAGGTGCTCTGTCCATGATTTTCCCAAGGAGCTCAAGTTGGGGTGAGGCTTATAGCTTATCTTTTCCTGCTCATTCTATAGAGGGGAACCATCCAGAGAGAAGTGAGGGACCTCAGTTGAAGGGAGAGTGTTATCAGAGTTAGGCAAATGAATGTTTAAGTTCTGGTGCAGCTATAGCAAAAATCCTAACATTGAACAAGGACTTAGTTGGCCAACAGATTCCATTACTGTCTCATGAGGCCTTCTCATAGGTGGAATTCTCTGGACAAGGCCATGATTTTTTTTGTTGTTTTTTGTCAACCAGCCATGATGGGTTTGAGACTTTTCTTCAAGATTCTTTTCACAAGAGATGGTATGAAAAGTATATTAGGGCTGGGTGCTGGTGGTTGACATCTATAATTCTGGTTACTTAGGAAGCTGAGATTTAAGGTCCAGCCAACCTGGGCTGAAAAAAATCTATGAAAATCTTATTTCCAATTAACCATCAAAAAGCTGGAAGTGGAGGTGTGGATCAAGTGGTAGAGCACCACTCATGAGTGAAACAGCTAGCAACAGCACAAAGAAGGCCTGAGTTCAAGCCCTAGTACTGGCACCAACAAAAAAATAAAAAAGGAAAATAACATTATATTAAAAAGAAGTTGCTGTAGAAATGAAAAATGGTTCTATTACTGTGTTTGTAAGTTCCATTCACCTGAGCTCCAAAGATCAAGTAGAATGTGCTTTGCTGTCCTTCTCCCCTTCCCCCCGCCCCCCAGCCACATGATACTGGGAGGTTATTCACCCCTCCAAACCTCACTTTTCTTATCTGTAAAATAAGGAGAACAAATCCTAGTTTTATAGGAGTGTTTCAAGGATCCACTTAGATTAGAGGCATGAAAGTACGTTCGAGAGCAGATGCAGATGATAGCAAGATTCTGCTGTTTGAGGCTGGGCACTTGAGCACTAGTTAGTTCATCTGATCCTTGTTTGAAAAAACAACTAACTTGGTTATATACCTCAGCTAGCCACAGTGGTGATGATTACCAACTGGGACTCCAGAAGCTGGAGCCTCACATTTGCCTGACTGGAAGACTTAGATAAAAGAAGTTAAAAACAACAAAAGCAAACAGAAATTCATATTTTCCAGAAATATCACCTGGACTCTAGACAAGTGTGTGGGGAGGAAGTGTTTCTAGGACTTATGCCAGCACTGGGGCCCAGCAGGTAATCAGGGAGGTGCTCAGAGGAGGTGAGCTGGGTATGGAAGGAGGGATGGCTAGAGAACTAACAGGAAGGCCGCTCAAATGCCAGACCCAAGCTGGGCATTTTCCTGGGTTAGGAGGTGAGCAGTTATCACTACATAGGGGTGAGGAAAACCAAAAGGCCTCTAAGAAGGAAAGCAAGTTGCGCAAGGTCACTGGGCTTCATGCCTTTGAAAAGGACATACTCCTTCCTAGCTAGGGTCAGGTCTTGTTCGGAGAATGCCTGAGGATGAGAAGGCCAGTGCAGTGTTGTCTGTCTGTGTCTGGCAGGGACAGTGACAGGGTTCCATGGTTTGCCCCAAACGCCACACTCTCCAAAGTGAAGTGAATTTGTGACTGTGGAATCTTAGGCAGGACCATAACTCCCCCAGTGGCTGGAGTGGTGATGTGGTTCTGGTAGAGTTCAGGCTCATCAGAGACTGAATTGTAATCCTAGGAGCTCCCTGCAGCCTCACTGAGAAAGGGTGTGCCTTGGTGTGGTCCAGGGGTTTAAACTGAGGGTTTTTTTTTTTTTTTTTGGTCCGGTCGTGGGGCCTGAACTCTGGGCCTGGGCGCTGTCCCTCAGCTCTTCAGCTCAAGGCCAGCGCTCTACCACTCGAGCCACAGCATCACGTCCAGCTTTTTTCTTTTTGGTTATGTGGTGCTGAGGAATCGAACCCAGGGTCTCAGGCATGCAAGGCAAGCGCTCTACCACGGAGCCACCTTTCCAGCCCTTATCTTCACTTTTTTATTCAGTGAAAACTCCTATCCCTCAAGTCCCAGCTCCCGTTCTTTTTTTTTTTTTTGTGCCGGCCCTGGGGCTTGAACTCAGGGTCAGTCCCTGAGCTGCTTTTGTTCAAGGCTAGTGTTCCACCACTTGAGACACAGCTTCACTTCTGGCTTTTATTTTATTTTATTTTTTGTCAGTCTTGGGACTTGAACTCTGAGCCTGGGTTTGTCCCTCAGCTCTTCAGCTCAAGGCTAGCGCTCTACCAATTGAGCCACAGCACCACTTCCAGTTTTCTGAGTAGTTTATTGGAGATAAGGGTCTCATAGGCATTCCTGCCCAATCTGGTTTTGAACCATGATCCTCAGATCTCAGCCTCCT